ATATATATATATATACTGATCTCATTCAAAATATAATGTGTTTATAATGTAATGTTATTTCACTGTTCACAAAAAGAGCAACAAAGGCAATGCGTATAAGCTCTATTTGTTCGTGGTTACAGAGCTCACCATCAATGTGACACTTGATCCTGTCATAGTCGTCACTAAGGGGTCTTTGGGCATGCCAGTGCAAAAGCTCATCAGATGTCTTTTGTGGAAACAGTGAAGGAACAACCGCGTCATCACTGTAAAAATAATAAATAATTTTTTTTAATGTTAGGCTTTTCAAATTGTAGTACAAACTTCAGGTTATGATAACATAGAAACCTCTTTTTCTATTTTTGTGATATTTTATGGGTCATAAAACTTTTTTGTGATATTTTGTGATATAATATGGGTCATAAAACTTCAGAGACAGAAAAACCCAGAATTTCTGCCATTCCTGTAATAGTCACATCCTCATCAACAACTATTTAGTAACTTTATAGCTGGAGTAATTTTATTGTAAGTTTAAAATAATAAAAATTTTTATATAGTAATGTTCAAATCATATTGACATATTAAATGTTACCATTACTTAAATGTATTACAGTAACATTATGATATACAATTTACCATATCCCAATATGATATGTTACATAGACATTTTGATGAGTCAGTCATTACACAAGTATTTTAGAGTCAGTAACACTAAATTAGGTGCTTAGTTAACTCTGTACCTCTTTAGAATAGGCAAATCCTTCACCATGTCTCCAACAAACTCATCAATTACAGCAGATGTCATCGGAATAAAACCCACACTAGGCAACTTTTCCAAGGAGATTTCTGAAAACAAATATAAAATCCAGATGAGAGGAAAGGTGTAACTATACTACATGAATTCTGAACATTATTTTTAAAATTTCAAATACATAATATTTTACCTAAATTTTATGTTTACCAAGTTAGAGCTTCCAAATGAGATATTCCTCAAACCAAACATGTTGTAGCAAGCCAGTATATTGAAAATTAGTGTACAGCCATTTACATGTGTAAGTAGATGGCTGCAGATCACTAGATAGACAAACATGTAGGTTTCTATTTCCAAATACATATTTTTTTATTACTTCACAATATGAAGAATGTGTCACAGTATAGTAACAACAGCACTTGAAAAAGGAAGTGCCACTTAGAGAGTTCACCTACATAAAAGTCTCCATGAAAATTAAATGACAAAAAATAGGAAAAATTAACAATAAAAGTATTTTATTTATCGCCAAATAGTCTTTGAAGCCCTGTTGAATTTTTATTTTCATAGTTCCTATACATGGCTTACATGCTGAATATAATAGACTAGAAGGTTTTTAAATTTAGCTTTGTTCATAACTATAGAGGAAAAAATACAATCTTTCTCCTCCCTCACTCCTAAATTCTAGTCAATAACCTTCTGCCAGTGTATATACAATTCCCATTTGCATTCCTCTTATCATTCACTCTCCTTTGGGACCATTTCCTTCTCCCTGAATTGCATCATATACAAATATTTTTAATGAGGATATGATGCTAGCTAACTCAGTTCTTGTATATCTGAAAACATCTATATTATTTCCTCATTCATAAGTTGTACTTATGCTGCTTACACTATCCCCCAACAACCATTATTTTGTCTCATTACTTAAAAGATATTATTCCATTACCATCATGCTTTTGTTGTTATTGTTGAGAAGTCTGCTAGCAATTTAACTCTTATTTCTTTGTAGGTAACTGTTTTCTCTCTAATTCTTAGGAAAACATTGTAGTATGCTGCAGTTGCATTATAATGTGTCTAGTGGGGTGTGTGTGTGTGTTGTGTACATAAATGCATGAGTGTGTATATGTGTATGTCCTATGTGGAACTCATTTCTGCATCCTAACTCCAGGTATTTGTATATTTCATTAAATCAGAACAATTTATTTTCAGTCATTATGGATATTTCTTCCTCTGAGGACTCTGTCCTCTGCTTCTGAAACTCCCAATTGGACAGGTGATTGACCTAAGGTAGCCAAAGGCCTAGAGAAATTGGAAGGTTAGAGTGGATTCATCATGTAAGACCTGCTTACTCAACCCATGAGGTTGCAGAGAACACACCTTCCACCACAACTATGAGAAATAAAATTGTAAGGGGAACCCCAGAATTCGGGAATAGCTCCATAGCTACTCTACTGTATAAGTCAGAATTGCAGTGAAAACTGCTACCAGCAAACTGGGATCCCTAAATGCAACAAGGATAATTCCATCCTGGGTGGCAGGGGCCAAGTAGCAGCACTGAATCACTAAAGATAAGGTAGTCATGGCTACCATAATGGAAGGGAAAGCCAAAGCAGTAATTGGAATAGTCTGATTCACAGAAACCTACAGCATTGGCTAGCTGGTCATAGTGTTCCTGGAAAAAAATCAATAGATTGGCATTCCACTAAATTCTAAATTGATCTGTATAAGCGGAAGAGTTCTAGGGTACGTGTACAAATGCCTAATTTAAATCACCAAAGTCATGGCTCCTTAAACAGTCCCTAAACATAAGCCTGATACAGGCCCAGAACCCCATGACTGAAGGGGAGGCAGAGCCCCTTTAATAAGGACCCTGCGACACTGCCAAAACTCATAGTGCGCGTCTTTCTCCAGTCTTCCTATAAGAGACTGACTGCCATTTATCAGGGCGACTGTCCCCTGGAGAAAGGGAAACCATCCAACTTTTCAAAGGATTACTGGATATTGGTTCTGAACTGGCACCAATTCCAGGAGACCCAGAATGTCACTGTGCCCCCAAGCTCCCACCCCCAGTCAGTAAGAGCTTGTGGAGGTCAGGTGACTGATGAAGTCTTCTCTCAAGTTCATCTCACAGTGGGTCCCTGAATCTATCGTGCGGTTTATTTCACCAGTTTCAGAATGCATAACTGGAACAGCATACTCAGCAACTAGACAAATCCCCGAGTTGGTCCCCTGACCTGTAGAACAAGGGCTTATAGAAGCCACTAGAACTGCCTATACTTAGAAAAATCGTAAGCCAAAAGTAATACTGCATGCCTGGAGGGTTTGCAGAGATTAATGCCACCGTTAAGGACTTGAAAAGTACAGGAGTGGTGATTTTCCTCACACCCACATTCAACTTGACTATTTGGCCCATGCAGAAAGACAGATGGATTCTGGAGATTGCCAGTAGATTCCTGTAAATTTAGTCCTATGATGACTCCAACTGCAGCTGCTGTTCCAGAGATAGTTTTATTGTTTGAGTGAAACGATACAACTCCAGGTACCAGGTATGCAGCTCCTGAGTTGGCAAATACTTTTTTCTCTACCTGTTAATAAAGGCCACCAGCAACAGTTTTCTTTCAGCTGGGAAGGCCAGAAAATATACCTTCACTGTCCTACCCATGCACAATGTCATAATTTAGACCCCAGGGGATTTTTCTAGAAGAAAATTTTTTCTTCTACAAAGCATCTCACTGGTCCATCAGATAGTTGATATTATACTGCTCGGATCTACTGAATAAGAAGTAGACACTGCTTGACATACCAATAAGACACTTGGATGTCAAAAATGGGAAATAAATTCAGCAAAAATTCAGAGACTTTCCATCTGAGCAAAATTTGTTGATGGTGGAAAATGAATGGAACAGAATTTCAAGGATGTTCCACCTCTGCAAAATGTGTACGAGTCCAATGGTGTGGAGCATATCAAGATAGCCTATCTTAGGCGAAGGGTGGTTGTTGCACCTGAACCCTCCTATAATAAATTATAATGCCTGAGGGGCCTTTGTGAATTTGGAAGGCAACATATTTCTCACTTACGTGTGCTATTCTGGCTTATTTATCAACTGACCTGAAAAGCTGCTAGTTTTTTTATTGGAGCCAAGAACAAGAGAAGGCTCTGCAACATGTCCAGGCTGACATGATTGCAGGTTGATCATACCAGATGGCTTCCCTCTGGATCTAGTGACCTTCCCTGCATGCAGTGCTTCTGCCAAAACCACCATCCTTGGACTTACAGAACACTTATTCTCTGGGTCTGCCTTCAAGTTCCCCTGTTCTTATCAGAATAGCAGTCATTACATTAGGCCTCACCCTAACCGGAATAACCTTATCTTAACTTAATTTCGTCTGCAAAGACCCTATTTCAAAGTAAGGTCACATTCACAGGTAGTGGGAATTAGGACTTGAACATGGGTAGTGGCACAGTCTCATCTCACTGCCTCCTGGGTTGAAGTTTCAAGCGATTCTCCTGCCTCAGCCTCCTGAGTAGCTGGGACTACAGGCACCTGCCAGTACGCCCAGCTAATTTTTTGTATTTTTAGTAAAGACAGCATTTCACCATGTTAGCCAGGATGGTCTCGATCTCCTGACCTCAGGATCCGCCTGCCTCATCCTACCAAAGTGCTAGGATTATAGGCGTGAGCCACCGCACCTGGCCCCAGGTTTTTAGGCAAAGCTTTGTTCCTTTAACCAATTGCAAATGAAAGCATCTCCAAATCTACCTATAATCTGTAAGCCCCTGCTTCAAGATACCCTGCCTTTGGGGGCCAGTGTTTACCTCCCCTGTATTGATTTATGTCTTTGCCTGTAACTCCTGCCTCCCTGAAATTTATAAAACCAAACTGTAATCCAACCACCTCAGGGCCACTTCCTCAAGGCTTCTTGGGATTGTCTTTTCCCTAGGCTATAGTCACCAATATTAGCTCAAAATAAACCTCTTTAAAATATTTTACCAAGTTTGATTTTTCCATTAACAGTATGGTTTTTAATTCAGAGCCTCCAGAAGAAACCAATTTTGATTTCAGACATTAACCTCCAGACCTGTAAGAGAATAAACTTCTGGGCAGACACAGTGGCTTATGCCTGTAATCCTAGCACTTTGGGAGACTGAGGTGGGTGGATTGCCTGAGCTCAGGAGTTCAAGACCAACCTGGGGAACATGATGAAACCCCATCTCTACTAAAAATACAAAACATTGGTCGGGCGTAGCAGCGTGCCCCGTAATCCCAGCTACTTGGGAGGCTGAGGCAGGAGAATTGCTTGAACCCAGGAGGCAGAGGTTGCAGCAAGCTGAGATCACACTACTGCACTCCAGCTTTGGTGACAGGGTGAGACTGGTCTCAAAAAATAAATAAATAAATAAATAAAATTTTAAAAAGAGAATAAACTTCTGTTGCTGTAAGCCACCAGCTTGTTGTGCCTTGTGACAGCCCTGGAAAAGGTGTACCTCAGGCAAAGAACTATGACCAGCTGCGGGGTTTGCTGAGTGCAAAGGGAGTAGGGAATAGGTCAAGGGAGGAGGAGACGGCCATAAATACCAGCTATGACCATGTGACCAGTTGCAGAAATGAGGACTGGAATAGTTAGGAGTATTTCTTCCTTATTTTGTCTTGAATACATATACATATTAAGCAGATATTTTTGGGTTTTTTTCTTTTATCAGTTTACATACAATGTAGTCATAATAAGGTTCTTTGTGTCACAGTATTTAGATTACAGGTTATCCAAGCAGAAGAGTGAAAATCACCCAAGAACTTAGCATTGTGTTTTGAAGGAAGAGTTAACATGTTTTTGGTTGTACACAGGATAGTTGTATCATGTTAAGCACAAGTGTGATTTTGTGAGTGTCTTTATTGGAAGATTAAGTATGGTGTAAGGATATGTATATGGGTGTTCAGATGACAAGAGGTAGACTGAAATGGTCAGTTTTAGGGGTCAACTTCATTAGACTACAGTTCCCTATCCAATCAAGCAGGAATCTGGATGTTGTTGGAAAAGTATTTGTAGATGGGCTTAAAGGCTAGGATTTATTTGCTTTAAGTAAAGAAGACTATCCTAAATAATCTAGATGAGGCTATCCAATCATCTCCAAGTCCCTGAGTGCAGAACTGAGGTTTCCCTGAAACAGAACAAATTCTACCTGTGGACTGCAGCTTCAGCTCATGCCCCAGAGTTCCAGCCTCCCCTTCCTTAAGACCTGCCCTATAGTCTTCCTTAAGACTTGCCTAGCCAGTCCCTATAATCACGTAAGGCAATTCCCTACAATAAATCTCTTAATACATGTATCCTACTAGTTCTCTTTATCTGGTAGAAACCTGACCGATACACTCCCCAAATGGATCTTCAATTCAATGCAACAATAATCAACATGTCAGCAGCCAATTACAAAATTTAAATGAAAATGCAAAGGACTCAGAACAAACTAAACAATCTTCAAAAGAACAAAGTTGGAGCATGTATACTACCAAAATCAATTTCTTATAGAACGACCATAATTAACTTTAATATTGGTTCAAAGATAAATAAGGCTTAAGGATAAACTAATGAAAGAAAATAGACAGTGAGGAAATAATCCCTCTCTCACACCATACAAAAGTAAATTCAAGATCAATCATAGACTTGTGAAATACTCATGACCTATACTTTATAAATGAGCAAAAGACTTGAGCAGACATTTCACAAGAGGATATTCAAATGGCCAATAACAGATGAAAAGTCCAAGAAAATGCAAATTAAAATCATAATGAGCTGCCCCCACACCCCCATTAGAATGGCAAAATAAAAAAGGCTAACAATAGACTCGGCATGATGGCATACACCTGTAATCCCAGCAGTTTGGGAGGCCAAGGTGGAAAGTTTGCTTGAGGCCAGGAGTTCAAGGATACAGTAAGCTATGTTGGTACCTCCGCACTCCAGCCTGGGCAACAGAGTGAGACTCTGTCTCACAGAAATAAAAAATTTAAAAAAAGATTAACAAGGCTGGGAAGCAATTCCGAAATTCTAAAATGCCCATATGGAAGGTGGAAGTTTAACTTGGAACTACCACCTTATAAAATATTTGGACAGTAATTCATAAAGCTGCATTTCTATGTATATACTTGAAGTGAATATATGCATATATCTACCTAAAGTTATATGTAAGAATATTCACAACAGCTTTACCCTTCAATCACTTCTCATTACTCTTATGATTTCCTATGTCCTTAAGACCCAACGAGTACACCTCCTCAGCTTCATCAGCTTTTCTCCTCTCTGGTCACACTGAACATACCTCAGCTCCTTTGGGCATTCACAGGTGCTATATGTCTTCTCTGGAAAACCTTTCCCTCTTCCCTTCCCCCAGCTAATCATTACTCATCCTTCAGATCATGAGTCATTTCACTTCTCCTCACTTCTTCAGAGAGGTCAACCTTTCCAGACTGGGCTGTGTTTCTTAATCATTGTTTCCAAACCAATCATTTTACTGCTTATTCAACAATTCAATAGCCAATAGCTAGGAAATGATCCAAATGGACAGAATGAAATATATTAAAAGAGACAGTTCACAGCAAAAACTTTTAAGCATAATGGTACATACAACAGGCAGGAATGTCTTGGACATTACACTGAGAGGGAAAAAAATAGAAAGAATATATACTATATGATTCCATTCTAATGAAGTTCAAAGCAGAAAAAACTAAGACATCATACTGAAGTCTGTGAAAGGGATGAAAGGAGGAGGAGGATGGATTGGGAAGTGGCGACAGAACTTTCTCCTGAGGTGCTGGAAATGTCCTCTGTCTTGATCGGGTGGTTATCACACAGATGTACAGATCTGTGCAAAATTTCACCAGGCCTTACTCTACACACTGGTTTACTTTAACCACATTATTATATGTATTTTATACCTTGATGAAGAGGTAAACAAGAAAGCACAGTGAAGGCAAATTATTTACACTTGGAAGAAATGAATTATTAAGACTTCTAAAAGTTGTTCCGGATAAACGTGCTTTTGTTCCACTTTACTGTAGCCATTTAATACCTTGAATGACTGATTCCTTTTGTGTAAGAAAATGTTGTGTTCTTGTTCTCACAGGAAAAGACTTTCCAACATCAAATTCTTTAACCAGCTGTGACACAAAATTCCACAGGTGTTCATAATCCCTCTTAATGGAATTTCCCAAATTCAAATGTGGTTCTGCATAACAACAAAAAAATATTAAAATCTTAAAAGTCATACACGTGCAGACACACACACAGCACCTTTCGTGAATAAATCCATAGAGCTCTGGGAAGATTATCAAATATGGAAACTTCAAGTAACACAGTAGACATGCATGAAAACTCATCATGACACTATGATAGTAGTTTCTAAAAATCATTTTCTCTTTAAATTTAATAAAGAGCCAGGCACTGTGACATGGGCCTGTGGTTCCAGCTACTAGGCAGGCTGAGGTGGGAGGATCGCTTGAGCCCAAGAGTTCAAGACCATCTGGGCAACGTACCAAGATGCCCTCCCCACCCCCCAAAAAAAATTAACAAAGGAATATCCCCATTTTAATCATAGTCCTTATTAAGTAATGCTAATGATAAATATATAATTATTCCATCAAATAATGAAGAACAACATGCTACGTATAAGCTTGCAACTTTAAAAACTAATTTAAAAATAAGTTTTTAAAGAGTTTACAGAATAGGAAGAGGGTGAGAATTTTGTTACAACTAGTAAAATTTGCTACATTTTACACAGTCAGCTTATTCAAATGTTTGTCATCTAAAAGAATTAAATGCCAGAGGTCAAGAAACTTCAATAATATTCACTTGGGAAAAATATATTTTGAAATGTCTTATTATTCTCTGACAATGAAAGCCACTCTAGGTAAGTTACCCTAAAAAAAATTCAAAGGAGGACAAAAATTACATACATACCAAAATGCAGTTTCATTTAATTTTAGGATAAATGCAGAACATCCTTAAATGTTCAAAAATAATGAAAAGATTACACTAATTACAGTCAGTGTTATAAAATATCATTAATCTACCATTTAAATAAAAAATATAACTATTAATTACTAATATGTCATAGCTTAAACACATTTTCAAATGCTATTAAGTGAAGAAAAAATAAAATATGTAAAAAGTATATACACATACAAACAAATGTTTTCAAGAAACAAAATGTTGCTGTGGTATGCACTGGAAAATCTGTAAGGGCTTTATATAATTTTTTTATGATACAATGTTAATATATATTAAGGTATTACCTTGAGTACTTTCAAATTCATAGTGAAAGGCAATATTCTTTAACAATTGCTCATCATGTAAGTCAGAAACATGTTTTAAATCCAGATTCCAGGATCCCAAAATGTTTAAGTTGCCTAAAATGAAATGTTCACACCACTTGTTCTGAAAATTAAAGAGAAAACATTATTAGCAGAGAGTCATGGAATAATTTCATACTCATGGTTAACCCCCTGTAAGGTAGGTCACAAGACCTTTCTGGGTGGAATGATAAAGTCGTTACAACTGTGAAGATTACAGATGGCAGTCTACAAGTACCCAAACTAATGCTTTCCAGTCTTTACTTTTAAAACTGGGAATTGCACTGCTTATCCTAGTACTCATTATTTACCTTGCAGTACACTGTTCCCTTAACGTGGTACTAACATCTTTGTCATGCAGGTCCTGGAATCCCAGCCAGGCCTGCATGAGTACATTCAGGCAGTTGCAGAGTGGTTCCACTCCTCTTACTTTGGGGTCAACACTTACCCCCACTACACCCCTGGTAAGCAAGAAGAAATTAGAGTGGGCTTTGCCCTTTTTCCATCATCTTTAGCCAATATCTTAATATTAAAGTGTTAAAAGGAGGGATTGAAACCGCCATTGCAAAATGATGACTGACATAGTGAAAGAGATCTGACCTGACTAACTCCATCTTGCTTCTAACCTCCAAGCTGTCCTTGTTCATTCCTGGGCGTAGGCTGAACTAACTTTGGAAGGAACTTAGTTTATAGTTTATAGTTTGAAACAAAGATGATAACAGCCCTTTCTCAAAACAAACCCCCTTCATTCTTGGGGCCTAGACTGCCTTTGCAGGACTAACAAATTAGTCAAAAGATTAGAAATTATGGTTTGAGAGTCATGCAGCTGGAGGCTACAAGATTCTGTCCCTCCCCAGTACTGCTCCTTGGGGATAATATCACTATTGTAAAATCTAAGCCGATGCTTGAGATATTTTGCAGACACTGCAATTGACGGATCAGCTGACACCACCCAGATCTATAAATTGGCTCATCTGATCTTGTGACCCCCATTCAAGAATTGACTCAGGGCAAGAAGACAGATTCAGCTCCCTAGGATTTCATCCCTGACCTGACCAATCAGCACTCTCAGCTCACTCACTTCCCCCACCCACGAAGTTGACCTTAAAATATCTGATCTCCAAATGCTCTGGGAGACTGATTTGAGTAATAATAAAACTCCAGTCTCCCTCAAAAAAAAAAAAAAAAAAAAAGATTACAGGTGAACTAAGACCAACTCCACGGAAAGAGTTGCCTCCACTACCTTTATTTTATAACCATCCACTCATTATTGTTGAATATTCCATAGATATTGTACCCCACCACTCTACTGAAACAGCTCTTAATAATAATTAGCCTTGGCTAGGTACCATGGTTCATACCTAAAATCCCAACACTTTGGGAGGCCAAGGCAGAAGGATTGTTTGCCCCCAGGCATTCAAGACCAGCCTGGGCAACATGACCATAATAAAATTAGCTACGCATGCCTATAGTCCCAGCAATTACAGAGGTTGAGGTGGGAGGATCTCTTGAGCCTGGGAAGTTGAGGCTGCAGTGAGCTATGGTCATGCCACAGCACTCCAGCCTGGGCAACAGAGCAAGACCTTATCTCAAAACAATAATTATAATTGGTCTTGACTTTCATGCCATTAAATTAAAGCCACTGAATTTTCTGTCAACATCCTCACATTATCTGTAGAATGTGACACTATAAACCACTCCCTTCTTTTTGAAATAACATATTTTCCTAGATTTTCTTCCATCTATCTTCACCAGTCTTTTTCAGTGTCTTTTTCTAATTCTTAAACTTCTACCTGACCAATGAATTCTGGAATATCTCTGGACTCTGAACCAACATGTCCTCTCATTTTCCCTAGAAAAACACATAACTGGCATGGTGTTCAGAAGCATTCATGGGCTAATGAGTCCCAGATTTTTATTTTCAGTCCAAAGAATATTTAAACTGCCTTCTAGATACTTCCTTTGGAAGTCTCATTGCCACCACCTGAAACTCAGTATTTCCCAAACTCATTATTTTCCTACCCAAAATTTTCTTCTTCAGTGGCAGCATCCACACAGTTGACCTAACCAGAAACCTGAAAGTCATCTTGGACTCTTCCTTCTCCCTTCTGCCTCATAACCTATTCATTACTTAACCTTGACAGTTTCAAAGCCTAAAGAACTCTCACATCTTCAACTTCTACTTATTCCGATTGCCACCAACTTTTTAGCCATGTTATCATTATCACCATGTGTTCACCACGTGGCTTCCTCACCGCTACATTTGGATATCTACAATGAGCTCTATACACTTTAGCCAAAGAACTCTTAAACTAAAATGTCAATTACAGCTGGAAACCCTTCAATCACTTCTCATTACTCTTATGATTTCCTAAGTCCTTAACACAGAGACAACAAGTACTACACTGAATTTTCTTCTACTCCCTCCTCAGCTCCATCAGCTTTTCTCCTCTTTGGTCACACTGAACATATCTCAGCTCCTTGGGGCATTCGCAAGTGCTACGTCCTCTCTGGAAAACCTTTTCCTCTTCCCTTCCCCCAGCTAACCATTACTCATCCTTCAGCTCATAAGTCATTTCACTTCTCTTCACTTATTCAGAGAGGTCAACCTTTCCAGACTGAGTTGTGTCTCTTAATCATTAGTTTCCAAAGCATTCATTAGTTCCTCCTTCATATCCACCTTTGTAATTATTTTACTGCTTATTCAATAATGCAAACTGAAGTTCCATGGAAGAAGAAGAGAAACGAGTCTGTATTTTTCTCCACTCCTTCCTTGGTGCTGATTACAGTGAATATGCAGTGAATAAGCATGTCTGGACTGGCTTCCTGACCAATGGGTTTTAAAATATCCCTGATAACAATTTGACAATATCTATCGAGATCCTCAAATTTTCCCTACCTTTTTGGCTAATCATCTCTTTTCCCATTTCAGAATATCTATTCAAAGTAGTTAATTATAAATAAGAGGAAAACTTTAAACCCCAAATCCCAGCATTTATGATACAAAAACTTCAAATGATCCTAATGTCCCATTATAGAGGCACGATTAAGTAAACTACAATAAAATCATTCACACATATTTATTAGCCATCAAAATTATGCTAACCAGCTTGAGTGAATGGATACCCCATTCTCCATGATGTGATTATTATGCATTGCATGCCTGCATCAAAACATTTCATGCACTCCATAAATATGTACATCTCCTATGTACTTGCAAAAACTAAAAATTAAAAAAATTATGCTAACCAAAAGTGAAAATGTTTTTACAATAAAATAATATGTAGTATATATAGCATGATTGCAGCCATAAAAGAAACCCTATGCTCTAGAATAAAAAATGAAAGAAATTAAGCCAAAATATTAACAGTTAACAGCATTAATTTGGGCAGTGGGAGAGTACATATTATTAATTTTTCTTCAGTTGTTAACTTTCCTTTAATATATTTTTATTATAAACAGAAAAATTCACAAATGCTTTTCCTGAGTTTCTCTACAAAGAGAATACAATGTCAATCAATTTTCTATGATTGATTATACAAAAACAAGATCTCATCAGAGATAGGAAGGAAAAAGAGGAAGGCTCTCATGATTCAACAAAACAGATAAACAGATATATTGTGGTGTTCCTCATTACACTGCCAAAAATAGAAGTTGTTGAAAATAAGACGTAATTGATGTATCAGCTAATTAGATCTGGCAATATTCCAGTATAACTCTAGTTTTAAAGGTGATCATGGTTTTCACTTCTCACATTGAAACAAAAAATAAACAAAGCATGTTTACCATTTTTAAGAAAGAATCACTGGCCCTAATCCAAGAGGATGTGATGACTCGAGAACAAGCTCTCTGTGAAAGGGGTAAGTGGAGTTGAAAAGCCACACAGAGGCAATGCAGTCTGCAGAAATCTTCCACCTCCTGCAGGGATAGGTGATTACAGCACACCTGCATACAATAAAGAAGATGAGAACAGCCACAATGTCACACTGTGAAATGGCATTAAAATAGGCACTCCATGAAGATACACATCATCAAAGTCTTACATTTACATTTTTGAGAAAGTCCCCTTCTGCATACAAAACCTTGGCTGCATTGATACAGAAGCAGAGAGGAAGGAGGGAGAGAAAACTCCAAGTTTAGCAGTTCACATAATGCATTTCTTAGGATTTTCAGTGAAGCCAAACTTTATGAGTTGACAGAAAAGGAAGTCCCTGATCCAGAAGTCTGAGCATTGACAGAGCCCCATGTAAAATGCTCTGGCATTTCAGAGAGTTAAGAGTAATAACCACAAACCCATGGCATGTTCAGGGTGAGAAATCCAGGATGGCAATCTATCTGTAAAACATATTGAATGAGAAAACGGGGAAGGAAATGGACCAGTTTCACCTCCTGTGGCAGAGACTTCACAACTATTTTCAAATATATGAAGGGTTATCACATGGAAAGTAAACAATCTGGGTATCTTCATAGAGCAAAATTAGAGGTAACTGAAATTAAAGGAGATTGACTTGGGTTCAATATGTTCATTTTTAAAAATTAGAACCACTAAAAGCATCGTGCATGGTCATATGAAAATATTTTTCCAAAGACAATAGGCAAGCAGAGTGAGGGAGAGTCAAACGAGATAGTGGTCCCTATCCATCTCTAAATCATGTAAGAAAGAAGCAAGTTAGTAAATATGAACTTTTGTGAGAAACAAACTGTTTTTTTTTTTTTTTTTAAAAAAGAGTGTTGCTCTGTTGCCAAGCGCCAGGCTGGAGTGCAGTGGTGCGATCTCGGCTCACTGCAACCTCCACCTCCTGGATTCAAGCAATAGTTCTCCTGCCTCAGACTCCCGAGTAGCTGCGACTACAGGCGCATGCCACCATGCCCAGCTAATTTTTGTATTTTTAGTAGAGACAGGGTTTCACCATGTTGGCCAGGATGGTCTCAATCTCTTGACCTCGTGATCCGCCTGCCTCGGCCTCCCAAAGTCCTGGGATTACAGGTGTGAGCCACCATGCCCGGCTGAGAAACCAACTTTTAAACGCAGAAACCTATGACCTGTGCTATTCACACTTCCACTCACAGCACATTTTTCAGCCTAGCAATAAAAGTGAATATGTTAAGGTAATTATCATTTTTAAGCGTGCCCTTAAAATTCTGACAATCATGCTGAAAGAATATAAAGTTTTTAAGTGTTTCATTTTTTAGAGTGAATCTTCAAAAATTAAAGTATTTAAAGTCACAATTTCAGATAAATCTATATAGCTAAGATTTACTGTATGACATATTAAATTAAAATATTGAAGTGTTGTATCTCCTACATTGAAAAGACTATTGCACAATAATTCAGGATCTGGGCTCTGAAAACCATGTGACTCCAGTCAAGACACTACATGAGTCAGTTCTCCTATATGTAAAAAATTGGGATAGGAACAGTACACTTTCTCACAGGGTTTCTGGAAAAACTAAATGAGATCAGACATGTAAAATATCTAGCACGTCACCAATAAGCTGCGTTACCTATTATTATTAATATTACCTATTATTATCAACCTATTACATTACCTATTATTAATAACACGTATTATTAGATAGTCTTCATAACATCACAGTTCTGTAATTTGAAAGCAGCTATAACACACGTTAGACAATCAACAATCTTAGCAGAGGGAATTAATAAATGTTTTATCAGTCAAAATAAAATCAAAGATGAGAAATTCAAACTAAAGAAAGAATCAAGAAGGAAGAAGCACAAAAAGCTCACTGCTCTCTCCATTCTCCGTGGTGCTCCTGAAGCGTTAACACCTTTTTTTTTTTTTTTTGAGCAACTAGAAGGACATTGTTATCATTTGTTGGGATGGAGAAGTTTGAGGAGTTTGGGTCCAGAAATCCTAAATTTGAGAGGTCTATGACAAATCCAAGTGGAAATAGAGGTCTGAAACTTTTCTAGTTATTTCAAAGGGACATTAAAATTGCCTTTCAAGATATGTGTGATCAAGAGGTGTAGATATCCTATTTCTTCTCTCTCTCCAAATGTTTATTTTTGGCAAAACGTCATTTCCATATGCAAAGTAAATACTTTGTAAAAACATGCTGACAGATTTAAGAAATGGACAGTTTTCTCCTACAGAATACTAATTCCTTGAGCCTTGTACAGGCATATTTTTCCTTTCTTTTTCTTTCTTTTCTTTCTCTTTTCTTTTTTTATTCTCTCTCTCTTTCTTTCGTGGCTGTTTGTTTTAGGAACAGAATTTTTCAGCCTGAAACACATAGATATTTAGACTGCATACAAACTTCGTGTGCATGTGTATGCGTGTGTGTGTGTACTTATGCAAATGCATATACTAGAGTGGAAAATCCATGTTCCTCAAAAGATTCCTAAAGGGCCCTATATGCCGAAAACAATTTTAAAAATTCAGAATCTCTCTAGTCTCAGTGATACTAATAAACAATAACAGAACTATTTTTTAAATACATGACTTAACAAAGCAGAATCACTACAAGCTGTGGAGCCAGCCACCTAGTCAAAATCCAGTCCGCCTTTTACCATGTGATTCCAAGTAGGTTAGGAAGTCTCAGTCTCAAAGTCTTGAATCCACAGGAAAGAGTGATTGATAATTGCTATATGGAAAGTTGCTGCGAGATTACATGGTATCAGGTACACAAAGAGCCTGAAACATAGGGTATAGTGGGGTCCTCCTCCAATTTGTTTCTTTTCTTCTTCCTCACTTTCTCTGTTTATTAGAAGAACTGGGCTAAATAGCTACTAAGTGAAACACCAGAGAAAATGTACTGTGCATTAAATTTAAAGAAAAACGCCAAATTATGTAACATAATATTCTTATCTATATAGATTCTAATTTTCCTCTCCTTTTTGGTATTTAATACACATAAATTGGTGGGGGAAGGGGGTAAATTCCTAATGAAGAAAACGGCAGTCAGAAACCAAGAGTATGTCAACAGTGGAGAATCTGATGCTACCCAGTGAAGTGACACCAGTTATACTTCATGAATGACAGCTTTCTGCTGGGCAGTTGTGTTCCTTTTACTTACTAAGATGCGGTGGTACATTCTTAAGGACAGTGAACAAGAGGTGACGCAGAGAACACGTCGGATGTCCGATCCTTCTGGCCACAGATGCTGAAGCAGAAATAGAGTCCTACACGCCTATTAAGAAAGAAAATTTCTTCAAATGCCAAATTATTTAGAAATATTCTTTTACTCATAAGTGCTCTTGCTTGTAAGAAACAGATTGTATAGATTTAACTAAACAGAACTTTAAACGTTTATGTTTAAAAATGTATGATTATTTTAATGATCAAAAATTGAAAATTAATTATAATCAATATGCCAGAGAAATATGAAAACCAAAATATATAAAGAAATTAAATAACACAATAAGACATTAAAATTTACTAAAATATGAACAAACGATTCACAAAGGAGGAAACAGATTATTAATAAAAATAAAATCATTCAATTTTACTAAAAATGAGAGAAATACATGTTAGAACAATAATTAGATATCTTGTTATAAATGTCAATATATCAAAATTTTAAAAATAATATCACGCAACATTGAAAATTGTGTGGTGAGTCAACTATCTTATAGATTAAAGATGAAAGTACAGGTAGGTATAGAATTTCTGCAAAGCTCTTTGACAACATCCATCAAGATCATTAAATATGTTGATACCTTATGATCCAGTTTTGAATTTCTGGGAATTTAGAATAGAGGAATAATAATCCAATATGTGTACAAAAATCTTATACATCAAAATGTTCATTATAACATTATTTATAACAGCCAAAATTTTGAAGTAATTTAAATGTCTAACACTAAGAAAATGTAATGCGCTCATTAAATATTACATTTATGAAAAATTCTTAATGACAAGAAAATACATAATAATCTTAATGAAATGTATACTAAAAATATATATACAGTCTGGGCATGGTGGCTCACAGCTGTAATCCCAAAACTTTGGGAAGCCAAGGTAGGAGGATCACTTGAGCCCAGGAGTTCAAAACCAGCCTGGGTAATAAAATGAGACATCATCTCTACATAAAATAAAAAATTAGGCAGGCATGGTGGCACATGCCTGAGGGTCCAGCTACTCAGGAAGCTAAGGTGGGAGGATCACTTGAGCCTGGGAGGTCAAGGCTGCAATGACCCATGATTGTGCCACTGTACTCCAGACTGGGCAACAGAATGAGGCCTTGTCTCAAAAAAAAAAAAAAGAAAGAAAAAGAAACACAAAAACATGTGTGTGTGTGTCTATATATAGAGAGAGAGAGACACACACACACAACACACACACACACACACACACACACACACACACACAATATGTCCTCAGCTACACAAAAATATATGTTAAAATGCTAAGTGGAATTATGGATATTCTTACTACTTTTCCTTTTTTTTCCAAACTTTCTTCTGCTTTTTACCATTTGAAAATCAGAAAGAAAAAAAAGAAAGAGGTGCTTAGTAATCCATCATGATAAACAGGATTATAAAGCATAGTTTGATAAGATAATCAGAAAGTTAGATTTCAGGTATAATTAATTTCTCATTTTGACTATTTATATGGCAAATGATGTCTTAGAGCCCTCCTCAATTGGAATAATAAAAAATAAAATTACTTTTGCATTAAGTACTACAAATTTCTAGTTTTCCAGAGTCTGTCTTAAAATATGGCTTCCAGAAATGAACATAAAAATTACATATGCCATCTGATCAATTCAAGGTAGGAGCATGACATTCTGAGATTCAGATAGTATACATGTATTAAGGAGATCTATGGCATTGTTTAGTCTGGTCTAAGGACTGAACTAATCATAACTTGGTTCTCATTTATCAAATTCTATCAAATTTTTTTAAAGAAATAAAAATTTTAATACCTCTTCCATCATATCATTCCATTTCAACCGTTCAAAATAAGGTGCTAATGCTAAAACCCTTCTTTCTTCCAAGTGTTGTATGAGACTTTTATATGCACTCTGAATCACTGTTTCATTCTGTAAAAGGGAGAAAACCATGTCAAATACATTAAATAAAGTGTTACCTGCCTATAAAAAATGAGACATTTCATGCAAATCAAAACCATAATGAGATACCATCTCCTGCCAGTCTGAATGGTGATCATTAAAAAGTCAAGAAACAACAGATGCTAGTGAGGTCGCAGAGAAATAGGAATGCTTTTACACTGTTGTTGGGGAGGTAAATTAGCTCAACCATTATGGAAAACAGTGTGGCAATTCCTCAAAGATTTAGAACCAGAAATACCATGTGACCTAGCAATCCTATTACTGGGTATATGCCCAAAGAAATATAAATCATTCTATTATAAAGATACATGCATAAGTATATTCACTGCAGCACTACTCACAATAACAAAAACATAAAATCAACCCAAATGCCCATCAATCATAGATTGGATAAAGAAAGTGTGGTATATATACCCATGGAATACTATGCAACCATAAAAAGGAACAACATCACGTCCTCTGGAGTAACATGGATGGAACTTGATGCCATTATCCTCGGCAAACTGACAGAGGAACAGAAAACCAAACACCACATGTTCTCACTTATAAGTGGGAGCTGAACAATAAGAACACATGGACACAGGGAGGAGCAACACACTGGGGTCTGTGGGAGTGGGGGTGGAAGAGAGAGCACTTTGAAAATTCTACAGGATAAATAGCTAAATTCTACAGGATAAATAGCTAATGCATGCAGGGCTTAATACCTAGGTGATGGGTTGATAGGTGTAGCAAACCACAAAGCCACACATTTACCTATGTAACAAACCTGCACATCTGCACATGTATCCCAGAACTTAAAGTTAAATTAAACTTTTTAAATGAGACATTTGAATTCTACATGTGTTATAATGTATACTAGTAAAATTACCCTGTTGTGTCTTTAGGACAATTTTTCTTAAGCTCTGATAAACATGTATATTTCCTGTTTGCCAAATTAATTTTTATTTCAGAATATAATGAATTGTCTTGGTATTATGGGGCTTTCAAAAATATAGAAAATTAAAGAAGGTAGTATGAACCCCCCATCCTGAACAACTAACAACATTTAATACATCCATAATATTTATTGAGACTAATTTAAACAGTCCAAAAGGGGTGATAAAAATAACCTTCTTTTAGGGAAATACTTATAGATAATGAATTAGGAAATAATTTTACAGAAAATAAAATCATCAATTTAAAACGAAAAGAAGGCCAGGCATGGTGGCTCATGCCTGTAATCTCAGCACTTTGGGAGGCTGAGGCAGAGATATCACTTAATCCCAGGAGTTTGAAACCAGCCTGGGCAACATAGCAAGAAGCAAGACCCCAATTCTATTAAAAATAAATATATAAATATGGTTATTCTTAAGGAGAGACAAAACAAGATACTCGTATTGCATTTTTAAGTCAGAGTCTGGTATTTCTCAGGCAAAATAGAGACTTACTGGTAGCAATATCTGTTCTCAATATGAAAATGAAGTCTAGAGTCCAGGCACAGTGGCTCATGCCTATAATTCCAGCACTTTAGGAGGCCAAAGCAGGCAGATTACCTGAGGTCAGGAGTTTAAGACCAGCCTGGGCAACATTGTGAAACCCCGTTTCTACTAAGAATACAAAAATTAGCCAGGCACGGTGGCAGGCACCTGTAACCCTGGCAACTTGGGAAGCCAAGGCAGCCAGGAGAATTGCTGAACCCAGGAAGTGGAGGTTGCAGTGAGCTGAGATCATGCCACTGCACTCCAGCCTGGGCAACAGAGCAAGACTCTATCTTAAAAAAAAAAAAGCTGGGAAAATTTTAATGACAGGATAAAAGTAAAACAAATAATTAATCTAATGAAGTCTAAAGTTCTAAAAAAAAAAAAAAACTGAGAAATAATTTAATGACAGAATAAAAGTAAAGCAAATAACTAACCTAAAAGCATGACAAACATCTGTATGTCTTAATTACCATGAAGGATGTTTGTCAAAACGTGATAAATTTTAGTTGGTTTTTATCGCCATATTGTACATTTAGAAGGCAATTTTCCAACCAAAACAAAAAATAAGGAGTCACAATTTCAAAGGGCAGAGATTTGCTACAAAAACTAAAAATATGAATTAGATTGAAAGATTATTTTTGATGAACTATTGAATGGCATACATCACCAGAATTCATTTCGAAATGTGAAAACTGGAACAAAACTAGATTCACTCATAAGATTAATGATATATTTTTTGACTCCCAAGTTTCAGAACATAAATACTGAATGCAGAAAGTAAAAAGTTCCACTTCAAAGTTTCCCTTCTTGTTAAAGAATAATAATAACAAATGTTAGAAATAATAGTTTGTTTTAAAGACTAACTTTCAGGAATAGATCCAAGATGGCCAAATAGGAACAGCTCTGGATTGCAGTTCCCAGCAAAAATGCAGAGGGTGATTAATCACTGCATTTCCAAATGAATTTTTACTGCCCGCAGACCAGGAGATTCCTGGGCAGAAAAGTGGCATGAGTTTCCAGCACTGCTGTTTCAGCCATCGCAGTGAGTTTCCACACAAAAACTCACACAAATACGGGTGCCATTTCAACTGGCGACTGGAACACCTAGGAGACAGAGTTGCCCATTCAACTGAAAAAAAGGGGGCTGAAACAGGCAGCCAGGTGATCTGGCTCAGCCAGTCTCACCCACACAAAGACCAGCAATGTGAAACGCTCTGGAATGAGAGTTTCACAGCAAGCACAGCTGGACCTGGGATGGTCCGGCTCTGTGGGAGGGAGAGCGTCCGCCATTACCAAGGAAGTCCACCATTGCCAAGGCAATCCGCCATTACAGAGACAATCCACCATTACTGTGGGAGACCGCCATTACCAAGGCAGACCACCATTACCGAGGCAGTTCTAACTATACTTCTATAAACAAAACTGCAAGGAGGTTCACACAGCAGCTAGGCAGAGCCCATGGCAGCTCAGCAACACCTCTGCTGGCAGACTGTGACTAGGATACCTCCTCACTGGGCAGGGCAGCTCTGAGAAAAGGTAGCAGCACATCAGGAACTTATAAATAAAGCCCCACCTTCCCGGGACAGAGCACCTGGGAAAAAAAAAAAGCAGTTATGAGTTCTGCTGCAGCAGACTTAAACATACCTGCCCAGCAACTCTAAACTGAACAATGGAGCTCACAGCTCAGCACTTGAACTCCTATAAGGGACAGACTGTCTCCTCAAGCAGCTCCCCAACTCCCATATGTTTAGAGACACCTCATAAAGGAGAGCTCAGGCTGACATTTGGTGGGTATCATTCTGAGACAAAGGTAACAGAAGAAGAAACTGGCAGCAACCCTTACTGTTCTGCAGTCACTGCAGGTGATCCCCAGGCAAGCAGGGTCTGGAGTGGACCTCCAGCAGTCCTACAGCAGAGGGGCCTGACTATTAGAAGGAAAACTAAGAAACAGAAAGAAATAACTTCATTATCAACAAAAAGGACGTCAACTCAGAGAACCCATCTGAAAATCACCAACTACAAAGACCACTAGTAGATAAATCCTCAAAGATGGGAAGAAACCAGCACAAAAAGGATGAAAACACCCAAAACCAGAACACCTCTTCTCCTCCAAGGGATCACAACTCCTCACCAGCAAGGGAAAAAGGCTGGATGGAGAATGAGTCTGATGAATTGACAGAAAGAGGCTTCAGAAGGTAGGTAATAACAAACACCTCTGAGCTAAAATAACATGTTCTAACCCAATTAAAAGAAACTAAGAACCTAAAAAAAGGTTTGGTGAAATGCTAACAAGAATAAACAGCTTAGAGAAGCATATAAATTAATTGATGGAGCTGAAAAACACAACATCAGAACTTTGCGAAGTATATACAAGTTTTAATAGCTGAATCGACCAAGCAGAATAAAGGATATCAGAGATTGAAGATCAACTCAGTGAAATAAAACAAGAAGGCAAGATTAGAGAAAAAAGAGTAAAAAAAAAATGAACAAAGCCTCCAAGGAACATGGGATTACGTGAAAAGACCTACTCTATATTTGATAGGTGTACCAGAATGTGATGGAGAGAATGAATCCAAGTGGAAAACACTCTTCAGGATATTATCCAGGAGAACTTCCCCAACCCAGCAAGGCAGGCCAATATTCAAGTCCAGGAAATACAGAGAACACCACAAAGATATTCCTCAAGAAGAGCAACCCCAGAGCACATAATCATCAGATTCACCAGGGTTGAAATGAAGGAAAAAATGCTAAGGGCATCCATAGAGAAAGGTCAGGTTACCCACAAAGGGAAGCCCATCAGACTCACAGTGGATCTCTTGGCAGAAACCCTACAAGTCAGAATAGAGTGGGGGCCAATATTCAACATCCTTAAAGAAAAGAACTTTCAACCCAGAATTTAATATCCAGCCAAACTAAGCTTCATAAGTGAAGGAGAAATACAATCCTTTACGGACAAGCAATTACTCAGTGATTTCATCACCACCAGGCCTGCTTTACAAGAGCTCCTGACAGAAGCACTAAACATAGAAAGGAACAACCAATACCAGCCACTCCAAAAACGTACCAAATGGTAAAAAGCATTAACACAATGAAGAAACTGCATCAACTAACAGGCAAAACAACCAGCTAGTATCAAAATGGCTGGATCAAACTCACACATAACAATATTAACCTCAAACGTAAATGGGCTGAATGTCCTAATCAAAGACACAGACTGGCAAATTGGATAAAAAGTCAAAACTCATCTCACATGCAAGGATACACATAGGCTCAAAATAAAGGGATGGAGGAAGATTTACGAAGCAAATGGAGAGCAAACAAATGCAGTAGTTGCAATCCTAGTCTCTGATGAAATAGATTTTAAACCAACAAAGATCAAAAGAGGCAAAGAAGGGCATTACATAATGGTAAAAGGATCAATGCAACAAGAAGAGCTAACCATCCTAAATATATAAACACCCAATACAGGAGCACCCAGATACATAAAGCAAGTTCTTAATGATGTACCAA